TACCCATTATAACAGTATATTAAATTTTACTATATATTTACTTTAATCCAATGCGTTTTATGTTTTCATGTTTTCTGTCATTAACTGAGAACTCTCTTTATCATTTCTTGTAAGGCTGGTGTAGTGGTGATGAACTTTTTTACCTTTAAGAAATTCTTTCCTTTAATTCTGAAAGACAAATTTGCTCTGTAGTTTTGTTTTGATTTTGGCACTTTGAACATGTCATGCTACTCCCTTCTGTCCCGAAATAATCTGCTGAAAGTTCTGCTAATAGTCTTAAGAGAGTTCCCTTGTACATACAAGTTGTTTTTCTCTTGCTGCTTTTAAGATTTACTCCTTGTCTTTTGCTTTTAACATTTTAATTATAATGTCTCAGTGTGAATCTCTTTGGGTTATCTGTATTTGGATTGTCTGTATCTGTATCTGTATATGTACTTCCTGAATCTCGATGCTTGTGTCCTTCCCTAGGTTAGGGAACTTTTCAGCCATTATTTTTTTTAATGAGCTTTTTGTTCCTTTCTCTCCTTCTGCAACCCCTATAATGCATATCACAGTTTACTTTATGGTATCCCATATGCCCTGTAAACTATCTTCACTCTTTTTCATTTTTTTCTTCTTGCTCCTTTGATTGGATAAATTCCAGTGCTCTGTAAGGTTTGCTGATCCTTTCTCCCACTTGATTTAGTCTGCTGTTAAACTCCATTAATGAAACATTTTTTAAGTTAGTGTGTTTTTCAGCTGTGTTTTGTTTTGTACTTTTTAACATTTTCTCTGTTGAAATTCTCACATTGTTCATGCATTGTTCTCCAGGCTTTGGTGAACATCTTTATGATTGATATTTTGAACATAATAACTATCTATTACATAAATCACTTATATTAATTCCATTAAGATCTGTTTCTGGAGATTTTTCTTGGTCTTTTGTTTAGACTATATTCCTGTTTCTTCATTTTCTTTGATTCTTTTTTTGGTTTCTAAACATGAAACAACCATCTTTCCTCTTCTTGATAGAATATTCTCATCATGAAAATGAACCACTTTGATCAACCCAGCCCAAACTTCTAGTTGTCCCTCAAGCCTCTGAGATTATCCAAACCACCCTCCTTGTTCTTAATGGCTTCCAGTATTTGAGGGTGTGCCCAAACCTGCCAGTATCCCAAGGCGAGAATGGCAGACAGCACCTAAATGCAGGCTGGTTATAAACTGGACCCTCAGTAAGCAGCTGGGCAATTATGTAGTTAAACCTCTTCCAGGGAGACACTGGGAGATAGGCGTTTTTTGCCTGCTCCCTCTGTGCTGGGCCCAGGATACAGCTGTGGGGAAAGGGTACTTCTGCACCTGTTAAAAACTACTTCATTTGATATGATACCGTGGGACTCAGAAATGCAGGCACCATTGCCACTCAAAGCCAGGTTATCTGGGGCCCCATCCCTTATGAAGCAGCCACACAAGCTGGGGTGCCAGCCATTTGTAAAACTCCTTCCAAGAAGACACCAGTGACTTGCTTTTGTTGTTGGAGTGGACCAAAGAGAGGGCAGGAAAGGTGTCTGCTGTTTCCCAGTCTCTGGGGAGGATCGCAGCCAGTCACTATATAGGAACCCTCATCCTCAGGGAGTAGCTTTTAAAGTATGCAGAGTTTTTGCCTGCTCCCTGTGCTCTAAGCCCCAGAAGGCCAGGCGGTGAAGGGAGGGGGTTGAGTGTTCATACACTTGCAAATAACTTTGTTTTGCTACATTCTTAAAGGTCTCGTGGACACAATCACCATAGACATTCATAGCTAGGTGTTTAGGGAGTTTTAGAAGCTGGGAAAGTATCACAAATGTGGGCCAAGTCCTGATGCTAGATTTGGGGTCCAAACCCTTTGCTCCTCAAGGAAAAGCTGGTAGTTGGGGGTTTGCTCATGATTGTATGGCACTGTGCTGGGGGTTATGTCGAGTGTGTCTCAGTCTTTTCTAGCATCTCATTGTGGGTGTTCTCTCATTTGCCCACGTGGAGGAGTTGCTCCGTGAGCTTCTGAACCACTTTCACTAGGAATGGCTGTGTGTGCAGCAATACATTCGATTTGTCTGTAGGAGGGGAGCTCAAGAGCCTTTTATGTCATCATCTTAGTCAACTCTGCAATTTCAAATTATTTCAGCTATTTCTTTTGTCAATTAAATCCCTATTTCTAGATTGACCATTTCTCAGAATGGTCAAATACTCATCTATCTGTTTTATGGCAATACCTTCTGGAACTCCTCACCTTCATCTTTTGCCAATGTTGAATAACCTAACTCGTACATCCTGTTTCCCTTCTTTGTTTACTCCCTCACTTTTTGGTGTTTCTTGAGAAAAACTTATGGAAGATATTTTTTTTGAGTCTTTACATGGAGTTCAGGATAAAATGAAGATGACTTTTGGAGACATTGTCCCATTGTTCTCTAACTCCAATGCTGCTAGGAAATCAAATGTTATTTTGATTCTAGGCCCTTTGAATGGGACCTATTTTCTTCTCAGAAACTTTTAAGATCTTTATCCTTCTATTCTGAAATTTTGCAATGTATGTGTGTTTTGGATAATTTTTTTCCTTTTTTATTTCTCTGGGCATATATGAGGTCTTTTTAATCTGGAAACCCATTTCTTTCAATTCTGAGGATTTACATGATTTCTAGGATAATTTTCTACCCTCCTTTTTTCCTTCCTATCTCTTCTAGAACCTACTACTTGTGTATCATATCCCCTGAAAGAATCCATTTTGTTTTCTCATTTTTCATCTTTGACTTTTGTTCTTGTATTTGTACAAGTTCCTTAACTTTCTTCAAAGATTTATTTATTTTATACTTACTTTCCTGTCCTTTATAGTTTTTACATAGCATCCTATGTTTATTTCCTGTGCATAATCAATACTGACCTATAGTGTCATAAATCTTGTGACAGAAAGTGCTCTTTGGGAAAAACTTTGCCACTTCAAATATTTTATCTTTACATAATCAGCCAAATTTATGTGCCTTTTAGTTCCCATGCTGTTAATTAAATTTAGTTTAAAATGATTTCTTCAAAACTTGTCAAGTATCACAATATGTTGGCAAAAAACAAAGTTCCTTAGGAATATTTGTGGCAAATAGAGCTGAAGTGTAAATAACTGCAAAATAAAGGCATCATTCCAGCAACCAGACTTGGCCAAAGCGCAAGCCTTTTGGCAATGGCCTGGAATGTGGAATGCATCGCCCACTTGAATCAAAGTCCAGACGCCTGTGATTTCTTTTTTCCATTATCAGTTCATCATACTGGTTTGTTTTTGTTTTAAGGTCATCAGGCTTCTCAGCAAGAATTTCATCTCTCGAAAATGCTCCATGCCAAAACACCCTATGTATGTGCAATTTATTTAAATGAGTGACATGGTAGCTTTGTATCTGCATTCTCTTATTGCAGATGATAACGGCACCTTGTATCTGTTGGTTAGTTTACAGAATGCTTTGATGTGCAGTCTCTCACTAAAAATCCTTAAGCTTTAATCCTCATTTCACAGTTTATAAAAGCAGACAGTACAGCGGTTAAGAGCTTCATCATTCTTAACTGAAAAAATTCAGTGAAGCTGGTCTCTGGGGTTTGTGTATTACTTTGTATATGTAGAATGATTACCATGTCTAATACACAGTAGGCACCCCTAACATGTTTGCCAGTGTCGTAATGTGGGAGTCTGTGTTCTAGATTCCAGCAGTGTGCTAATACAATGTCTCACTGTCAAAAATCTGAGTCCCTGAGGCTCCGAGTTCTGTTACTGCACACTTGGTATCCTCCGTACCAAACTGAGAGCAGTCATCCTTCTGCTTTTCACGTTTTTACAAAGTACCTTTCTCTTATGTGTTCTACATTCTTCTTCAATTACCAACGTTGCAAAAACTGGAATTCTCTCCCAAAAAGCCTTGTACAAACCTGAGGCTCACATACAATCAGTTGACTCAAGTTGACTTTACATCCAAAATACTCACCTGCTAATAGTACTACTGACAGGAACTCAGTTTTAGGCAAAAGAAAAATAACTTTACGCTTCTCTTAAAAGGACTTGCTCTGCTTAAGTACTCTATGAATGAAATTCATCAAATACTGCACAGCAATTTAATGAATAATTCTTAAAGATAGAAGCAAACATAACTCCAAGAGATCTGGATTTGTTTTGTTTTGTTTTTTAATGCTAAGAGCCTGGCCTATATCAATCCTGGTTTGTAAGAGGGAAGAAAAGTCTGTCTTTATGTCCATGTTCTTCAGGAGGTGACCCTGACACCCCCCTACTCTGGAGATGCTGTGGCTTCCGGTGATGCACAGAAGCCCCAAGTTCCAGCAGATACAACCAGGAAATCCTTGCAAAGAAATATTTTCAAGTACATCTGTTCCCATAGCTTTAGTCTAATAGTTTTCAAATGTCAGTGGAGGCAGGATTCACCTCAGGAACTTGTTATAAATTCCTACCTGGACCCCCTCAAACAATTCATTCAGTAGGTAGGATGGAGCAAGAAATCTGCATTTAAAACAAACTTTCTGGACCACTGCTCTGGTGTGCGACTCTGACATAGGTAGTGCAAACCCCACAAAGAGGAACGGTGCCTAAGTCTAAGGCTCTGAGGGCTGGGATAAAAAGAAATAAAACAGAATCTTTCTACTTCTTCCCACCAGAAGTAGCCAAAACATCTGAAGAAAACTCAGGCTCCTTGTTACCAGAATTAGCCCAGATCCCTCTACCTCTTTCCTGTATTACCAACTTGCTGTTATTTCTATTAATTTGGATTTTTTAAAAAGCAACTATCTTTATTAACTTAACCCTGTTCTTGTACAAACATAATTCAAGCTGTTTAGAAAATAAAAATCAATAGTTTTTTCATTCCTTGTGCTTCTAGAATATACATGCATTCACTGTCATATGATTTCAGAATAGACTCAGGAAGGATATTAGTATAAGGGAATGTTGTTTCCGACTCCTGAAGAATATATTACAATTTTATTTTAATTTCCTACCTACACAGCTATGAATTCCAGGTGAAACCTAAAAACCCACTTGGAGAAGGGCCAGCCAGCAACACAGTGGCATTCAGTACTGAATCAGGTAATCAATCACACCAACAGTAGTTCCCAATGAGGACATAAAGGGCCACACTATTTTGCACTAAGGAACTTGTCTGAAACCCTGCCAAACACTGTCTATATGTGCTTCTTGAATTCAAGATATTATCTATGGGGAAAAGGCAACTGGTGAAGGTACCCACAATGAAGGACCACTTCGGGTTTTCCTCATTTATTTTGATATCAGAAAAAAAGAGGTATATCAGTTTAAAAGAAGTATTAAATCAATTTATACTCAAAAATCTAGTGAATGAATGCTCCTCTGTATACCAGCCTCAAAATTTAAGACATGCTGAACCATACTACATGTGGAAAGGGAATTCATTTGATAGGTTTTTTTTTTTTCATGATAAGCGGCTGTGAACTCTTATTTGACCTTCTAAGCTCCAGTCCCCTAACAAGACACATCTGTGCTCACAGCATCATTTGTATAATTTTTACAACTGCAATTCATAGCATGTTGATTTTATTGTCAGTAGCTTTTTGTATGAAACTAAAAGAGGAAGTTTTTAAAACGGAAGCAAAAGCCAGAACAGCTGTCAAGATGTCCAACTACTCAAATCACAAGGAAAAGATACAGCTGAGTATCTGGCAGATTTTCCAATTGAGAACAATTTCCAAAACAAAACACACTTTCAAATTCCCTTTCTGAAAAGGTGTACCACTTTGCAAGTAAAATTTCTTAACAACCCATCCTCTTCACTGTGCCACTAGAACATTGAGACCTACTTATCTAATAACATCTGACTCTGTTTGCTATTTCTTCTCAGCGGATCCAAGAGTGAGTGAGCCGGTTTCTGGTAAGTACCTGTGTCAACGTGAACACAACTACATGCATTTCTAAACTGATTCAACTACACAGACATGGCAAAATTTTAGTCATAATTTCACACTTTAGTCCATTTAATATTACTAGACTATCAATCAGGTGTGAATGCTTATCCAAAACATTGTTTCATTGACAGCCTATGATGTTTTGGGAACGATCTGGATATTTTGAAACTTGCTTTCATTCATGCATCAAATTTTAATAACTGTCAAAATATGATACCCTCATTTCTACTTTTAATAATAAGCCACATTAAAGTAGCTGTTTAAATTGTATATACCGCAAAACAAAACCTAAATTTCCTCAGGATGCTGTCTACACATAGCACTGCAAAGACTATCCAATACCAAAAATACTCCTCTAAGATTTATATCACTATTAAGAGGAACATAATTGGGGGGGTTATGCATTTTTAAACTCCTGTATTTTGGGCTCCAATATTTAGCATTGGTATCAGAAGATGGCAGTGAACCCTGCAAACTGTTTGTTGTTGTTGTTGTTGTTTAAGCTTTTAGGACAACTCTTCAATACTCAAAGACAGATACTAAACTCAAGCCATATATTTTTCTTATGCAGGAGGAAGAGATGCCATCTGGACAGAAAGGCCCTTTAATTCAGACTCTTACTCAGAATGTAAGGGCAAACAGTATGTCAAAAGGACGTGGTATAAAAAGTTTGTAGGGGTGCAGTTGTGCAACTCTCTCAGATACAAGATTTATCTGAGCGACTCCCTCACAGGTAAGCAAGATTACCAGCTGTTTTGAGTACTGTCCTTCAGGAAGTGAAAGCTTTGCAGCATTCTGTAACTTGGCCTTTTCTTTGGACAGAAACTAAGGTATGATGTAAATACAGATTTTCTTTTGGGGCAAGATGTTATTGAAATACCTAGCCTAGGAAACAAGGATTTGAGACATGCTATTAGAAGGGAAATAATGAAAATGCAATTTGAACAGGGCCATCATGGCAAACGTGACTGTGGAGACACTAGCCACATTTAAGCCCAATTTCGTTACAGCCAACCAAGGATAAAACCCCTACTGATAATAAAATGGCTGTATCGAACAGTAATCATGGAAGGAATATGACATGGAAGGAATTAAAATTTTAAGTCTGCTGGAGACAAGGTCAAGATTACAACCCCTGGCTTGAAGGGTTATAACCCCTTGCTCCAGACTCAGTGGGTTATTATTTTCTCTTCTATAGTCATATGATAAAAATATTAAATAAGTCTGGTCCCAACATAAAAAGGTAGACATCTGCTCAACCATTCAACAAACAGTATCTGCTTTATTCAGACACTGCTCTAGATGCTGGGGGCAAAGCAGCCAACTAGACACAAACAAGCCTTCTTACAGCTTTCAATCTAGGTGGAAGAGACAGACAACAAATATATAAATAAGAATTTCATGTAGTGCTTTGAAAAAAAAGGGGGTGGGAGAAAACAGCTGAATGAAAGCTCCTTTAGTTAGAATGGTTAGGAAAAGGTGCAACTTGTGCTAAGAAAACTATGAGAAGGCACCAACCAAGCAAGATCTAGAGATAAAGCTAGAGGCAGAGGGAAGAGAAATGCAAAGGCCTGTGCATTAGGCATGCAAAAGAACATGCCTAACCAGTTCCACTGGTGTGGCTGAGGCTTAGTAAGAGGAAAACACAGCAGGCAGGTGTGAAATCATGTGGAGCTTTGAAGCCAGGTAAGACTTTGGGCCTTATTGAGTTCAACAGGAGATTGCTGGAAAGATCTGTGGAGGCGGGTAACATTATCTGAGTAACATTTTTTAAAAAGATTTTATTTATTTTTAGAAGGAGGGGAACGGAGTGAGGAGAGGGAGGGAAACATCGATCCGTTGCCTCTCGCACATCCCAACCAGGGACCCAGCCTGCAACCCAGGCATGTGCCCTGACTGAGAATCGCACTGATGACCTTTCGGTTTTCAGGACGATGCCCAACACACTAAGCCACACCAGTCAGGGCCGGAGCAGCATCTTTAAAAGATGCAAGAAATGGGAGGAGGGTATAAGAATAGAGGCAAAACTGAAAACAGGGATATCAGCTGGGAGACTATTTCACAGTGAAGCCAAGAGGCTTGAAGTAGGGTGAAAGTGGGGGATGAGTCCCAAAACAGGAAAGATTATCTGAAATTATCTGATTATTTCAAAATTGCCCTATGTCAAAGAAAGTAACATTTTTTGACCCTTTTAAATTTTGGTTCTTTAGGAAAATTTTATAACATAGGTGATCAGAGAGGCCATGGAGAAGACCACTGCCAGTTTGTGGACTCATTTTTAGACGGGCGTACAGGACAGCAACTATCTTCTGACCAGTTACCCAGGAAAGAAGGTATGTTTTCTAAGCCTCCTCCTAAGAAAGAGAGTTTTACAAATTAACCCAAAAAGAATTCAAGCTGAGAAAAGCAATCACTTTAAAAATAATTCTATGGTACCGCTGTTACAATTATCTGACTAGAAAGAAAGACTTTCATCAGCCCTTGGTATGAAGACTTTAATGAAAGTTTTTTAAATCTTTCCTCCCAGACCTTAAGGCTCTGGTCCTTAGGGTAAATGAAAGTTACACACAGACATATATGAATGTGTTCTAGTTCAATTTTAAAAAGTGTTTTCTTAAATCATTCATATGGCACTTTTTTATTCCCTTAAAAAAATTTATAGATTACCACAAATGGAAAAATGGTATTAGTTGCCTTAATTATATAAATTCAATTAAAATAGAACAATTCTGTTAAGAAATGAATAACCACTGTAATGCTGAAGACACATTAGCACTAAGCAGCTTAATGAAGATTAAAAAGATGAAAATTAATTTAATTCTTATCCAGGCAGGGCAGGAGAGGGTAACTTAAATGTTCATATTACTTGGGAATCACCAAGAGGTTCATTAAATATTTTAAATTATTTGATTAACCTTTTCAGAAACACATTCTGTTCACTGGCACTTAAAAATACCCACCACAGTAAAAGATGCCTTAGTTAGACTGATGAACCCATAAACAGGAAGTTGAAACTGCTGTCTCATAGGAACTGGATATAAAACATACTCTCAATCATGTGTATGTCTATAATATTTTACAATCACAGAGAAATTTTTAATCATTTAGTATAGGCTCCTTGAAGACTTCACCTAAGTTTAATTCTTAGAAATTTAGCAAGTTTAGAATTATCCTTTTGTTTCTTAACACTGTAGTAAATACAGCAGCTTTACTCAGGTCAGTTCTTCACAGACCACCAGGAGTCAGCAATATCAGTGCAGAAAGTACATTTTCACATGAGATGGGAGAATACTGAAATGTGGCCAATGACACTCAAAACACAAAAAAACACAAAGCCCTGACCTCTGCCCCTTTCCAGCTTTGTTTCCCAAACACCACCAACCGTCCCATCTTAACTTGCTGAGGAGTTCCAGGTGCCCCTGATGTCTAGCCTCCCATTACTACCATCAGGGAAGACACCAGGGCCTCTGCTGCTACACGTTTCCTAAAATACTTCGCTTCACCTACTGTAACCTTCAGCCATTTGGTCTATGAGCAATAAGGACAAAATATAACAGCAGTTGTAATAATTAATTTTCCTTCTTAGGCTATTTCAGAGCAGTTCGCCAGGAACCTGTCCAATTTGGAGAAATCGGCGGTCACACCCAAATCAATTACGTCCAGTGGTATGAATGTGGGACCACAATTCCTGGGAAATGGTAGATGCTGCGATCATGGTCACAAGTGCCTTCTATGTCATCATGGCAAACTACAATCGCAAACACTACAGTATTTGTCACATTCATTTAAAGCTGTTCTGTTTACTATGTATAAAAGTTTAAAATCTAATCCATAGCAATATTAGATGTTTATTAGGAAGATTGCTGAGAATATTTATCAAGTTTTACAAAGTCATTTTTAGAAAGCAAGATATTAACATTTTTTGGGGAAGCTGGCTCCCTATTCATGATATTTTAAGAGATCATTTGTATATTATTTATCACACTGTTGTAATGTTTTGAAATACTTTTATAACAAAATTAACATCAAAAACTAATATACATTTTTTAAAGATATTTACTTTTACTAATGTGTATTCTTCCTATTGGTGAACTAATTCCATAAATCTCTACTTGGTTTAACTTATTAGATCAAATTATCTTCAGTATATATCTAAGGGGAAAAAGGGCCCAATATTCACACGTTTTTTTAAACTTCAATTTTTTAGCAACATTTGAATAACCTTTCTGAAGCATTTAAATAAACATCGATGTGAATATACAATTCCTTAAATATTTGCAAATTATTAAAAAGGTTGTAGTTGAATTAGTAAATTTCAGCTAAAAATAGGAAGGAATCCATTTTTCCTACTCTACTCATAATTATTACAGTGTCTGAGTATACTCTGTCAAACGAAGCCTTCAAGCAACTGTCTTCATATTGTTTTTAATATAATTCTAAACAAGCTGTAAGCTGAAACTGAATGTGTCAAAAAGATACACATAATGAGATTGCTACCATTTTATGGGATATTTACTACATTTTGACACATAAGACTTCTAGGAATGACTGTATCAAAGGATGTTTTCATATTCCAATTCCACCTGTACAGAAAATCATTCACCTTTATTCAGAAAGGTATTTCTTCATCTGGGGAAGGAGGTGGGGATGCTACATTGCTGCCCTCTTTCTGAGAGGACCCTGCACTTACTCCTTTCAAAATGCTTCAATTTTACCAATGCTACATTTTGTTAAGTTTCAAACAAGTAGAAACTCTGCAATAAAGAAATGTAGTTGTTTTTTAAGGCTGAGTTCTTTATTTCTGAATGGTTCACCCCTATAAGGAAAAAATCAGTTATTCAGGATCTACCAAAACCAACTTGTATCTTCCAAAACTGTACTGGTTGTGTGTGTACACACACAAACACATACACTGTATATATATAATATTTATCTTCCTGTGACATCTATTTTAAAGTTCATTGTTTTAAGCCGATGACTGTTAAATGCATTTCTTTCAAGTCAGGACAAAAATCAAACAGTACTGTGTTTCTCTGAACCATGTGCACTTCATTTTGACAGAACATCAATAAGGATTTGTTTCTTGCTTTTTTTCTCACGTACATATAATGTTAGTGACTAAGTTAAATTACAAGACCACTAAATGGATTCAATCATCTTTATTAAGCTATCAGTTTCATTTTATACATAATAGCTAGTTGTCTTCTCAAAGAGATCTACTTTTAGTATATCATGTTAATAGTAAAAAGCCAACTTCAACCTAGCATTTTAATAACCTCTGGACAAGGCAAGCTAGAAAATCAATCACTTTACACACACATTGAGTAGTGTTCCAAAATTACTAGGAAGCTGCTACACTTTTAAGCAGGGAAGGAAAAAACTTTCATTTTGGTCTTTTTTGTGTTCTAGCAAATTATACTTTCAATTAACAGCAACAATGATATAAAAATGCTCTGCTTTTTAAATTTCTGAACTTCAATACAAATTAAAATAAAATAGTATTGGAGTCTTTTGGGAGGCAAATAGCTAGCAGCTACATTCATCAGTGTAGCTGAGCCTCTTTATCGATAACCAGGTCCAGGTTGGGTATAGCTCTGACTAAAGGGAGGACGATTACGTGCATAAGGGTTAGGCCCACTTGGAGGAGGGGTCATGGTACTCCCAGGAGGTTGAGTAAAACCTGGTCTTGGCTGATAGGACCCAGGTTGGCTTGGAGCCATTCCAGGTTGTGAAGCAGAAGCCACAGAATAATTAGTTGGCTGAGAAGTTTGGGTAGCATAAGTATGTGGAGGGTAACTGCTCGCCTGGTACTGCTGTGGCGGTTGAGCAGGCAGTTGTTGAGGCTGACCAGAGAAGGAAGAAGCTGGTGCCTGGGAAGTCGGTTGCTGGCCATATCCCTGGAACTGCTGAGGTTGTTGTGATCCAGTCTGCTGAGTATAGCCTGCTGAAAAGGCAAAATAAATAATGTATACATCTTATTTTTCTGTTAGTAAAAATTTTCCAGAGAATTAGTCTTTACTGTTATGGACCAAAAATGATGAGAAATTTAACAAACTTAATCCTAAGCATTTACATAACAAGTGAAATAGTAAATTCTATCATATATTTCCAGACCAAGTGATATCAAAAAGTAAAATTTTTTAAACCTGCTCATCTTAAATGGAAACCACTATATATACATTTGTTCATTACAACTGCCTCTAGACTATATAATCCCTGAGGGCAAATTCCTGTTCCAGCACAATTTCTATAGAGGAGATACTCAAATGATAAAGGCCAGAAGCAATGCAAAAACTAGTCATTAACCTGGTTTTGAGGGAAGACCTATTTAACGACAGTACCAAATAAAAACACACTGTAGAGAATGAATATTTTAAAGTGAAAAATGGTGCTACAAACACATCTAATTGTGCTATTGAGATGCTTTAGTCATTCCATAAAAACTAAGCCATTTAAGAATAAACATTAAGCACCCATCTTTGCAACCTTTAAAATCTTTCACTTTTTTTTTGATTTGGTATCTGTTTTGCCTTTACAACTCAATGTTATGAGTTAGCAGTAACAACATAACACACAAAAATCATACCATATTGCCCCACAAAATCAACATCTATATTCATTATTTACTAAGGATGTAATTTTTTAAAAGAAAAAATCTGCTTCACTAAAAACTTTTGTATCTCTACCATGAAACACACCTGCAGCTACTTGCAATGAAACCTCTCCATTGACTGGGATCCTGTCAGCATTAAACACCAGATACATAAGAAAATTATTAAAATATGTACAACCCTGCATTGAAAAAAAAAGGATTGAACGAATTTGAGTATATTCTGAACTCACCTTGAACCTGGGTTCAAAATTTACTATGAAAGAAATCTTTTTGACACAGTCCATGAATAAAACTGGAAAAGGTCAGAGGGAAACTGGCAAGCCAACACTGTCACAATGGTCCAAGGTTACCACCACCACTTAAGGGTCTCCAAGCAGAGAACTGAGTTGACTATTCCCATATCTCCCAATCAAATTCAAGTTAATAGGACTAGTGGGATCAGAAATACAAAGACAATTTCAAGAAAAACTAAATTTTACTCAGAGTTGAGAGCCTGACTAAAGTCATTAAGAGCAAGCTTAATTTTCAGTAACTAAATCAAATGTCTAATGCATTTTACTTATGATAGTATCTAAATATTGAACTAAAGTCAATTCATGATCAAATCTTGAATGTCATGCAATTTTTCCTATCTTCTACATAAAATGTTTAATTTAATTTTTTTAATATCAGATTTTGGAGAAAGAGAAAGACTCAGCTTGTATAGTGGAAATGTCTATTCAACTTAAGACAGTGAGAAGAAAAAAAAATGACTGCCTTTTCATCCTGGCAACTGAAATCTAAACTGGCTTTTTAACTGAGTCTGAAAACAACCAGATCCTTAATTATTTCTTAAGAGAGGAACTAACTTCTAAGGGCCTAAGATGACATTTCATTAGCAATCTAATTTGAGTCTCTGACCACAGCGTGACATTTCTACATTATATATCTAATCTCCCTCAAACCAATACCCCTTCCTTAAAAAATGAGTAACTTGGGTGAAGAACACCAGAAATTGCAAGAAATGGAAATTCTGCGGGTTTTTTGAATAAATAAATACTATAGAACAAGGGGTCACATGGTCCACAATGGCTACAATATTTACTCTCTAGCCTTTTTTGGCAGGAAACTCTGCCAATCCCTGGTCTAACTTTGAGAATGCAGAATGATATAGGGAAGTAATTAACTGCAAAGTCAAGTGCCCTGGGCGATCTAGCAACCACACTGAAAGGCTACAGGTCCTTCAATACATCACAACCTCTTTCAACCCTAGTGGCTTCATTTATAAAATGAGTGGATGGGAAAAAATCAGTGGTCCCCAACTTTGGCTGTGCTCTAGAATGATCTGCAATGCTTTTAAAATATCAAAGCCTGAGTCCCACCCAGATTAAAGGAAACAAAATCTCTGGGAGTAGGGCCCAGGCACCTGTAACTTTCAAAAAAAGCTGTCCGGTGCTTCTGAGGCACAGTGAAGGCTGAAATCCCTTGGATTGTATGATTACGAGGTCCCTTCAGCTCTGAGATTGATTATTTCTACAAATTACACAATTTGCAACACTCTGATTTTTAAGGACTATATCCTAAAAATAACCTTCCCTCTAATATCATAATCCAAGTTTAAATTCATTCCACCTTTTTATATACTTAAAAATTAGTAGCTACAGGTTCAATCACTCTATAGCAAATACAATACAAATAAAAACTGCTGTGTGGGTTAAAAGATGTGAAACTGCAATTAATGACGTAATTTTATGGTCTAGTCAGAGACAGACAACCTTTTTTTCTGTAAAGGGCTGGATGGTAAATATTCTAGATTTTGTGGGCCACACAGTCTCTGTTGAAACTACTCAACTCCACTGTACATTTATATTCCATTGTACATTGTACATTTGTAGGCCATCGTAGTGCCAAAAGCACCAACAGAGGTACAAAAATGAATGGATACAGATGTGTTCCAATAAAACTTTATTCACAATAATAGGCAATAAGCCAGATTTGACCTGCAGGTTACAACTGGCTGACTCCTGCTCTACTTTATACTAGAAAATTCCATAAAACAGAATTTCGGCAAGATTCAGATAAACTAATTATAGTTGAAATTTGATACATAAATCTTTCACTGTAAAACAAGAGCTGAACACAAACTCTAGCAAATGTAAAAATTACCTGAATTACTATAATCACTATGTTTAAAGCTAAAATAGATTTATCATATTTAAGTATGGATAATCTTCAATGATCAGATGGTAAAATATCCAAGATGCCTATATTAAACTATATTTAATGTTCTTAATTGCCTGAATTAGGTTTTACATAATTCTTTTCTTTTTACGGGGGGAGGGCTGTTTTTGGTATTCCTACATACTTTTGAGAGATTTAAAAACCTATGTAGATTAATTTGGTTCTTATTTGCAGAGGTGGGTAAAAAGTAGGTTTAACAGTTACGAGTACAAAAAACACAGAGTTCATAAAGCTACTATAATAATCATAATAACCTGTATGTCTTTTCCCATACAAACAACTATAAACCTACTTTTGCCCATGCTTTTTTGCATGTATTAAGATTATCTTTCCACGTATGAGGCAACTATTAATATTTTTAAAAGCACTAAGAGGGTCCTGGGATTGAGTTACATATAACAGAAGGAAAAAATCTTGGATTTTTGCAATTCTAAGTCCCCTAAGAGGCAAGCTGATCACATCAGTAGGAGATAGCTTTGTATTAAACATTTTTTATAGTACAAGTTATTACAGAATCATCTACTATAATTGCAAATTTTACTTGCCCACTGGAAAACTGAAATGTTGATTTACTATAAAATATTTTTAAGAATAAATAAAACTGATGTTATTTCCCAAATCAATAAATACTTACTACCTGCTATGACAATGTATTACGAATCAGAGAATTAAGAGGACAGGACCGAAGGTTAAAATGAGTATAGCCACAGCTCCAAACCACGCGCCAGCTCCCTGCGGACACCTGCTCACCTGCATACTGAACACCATACTGCTGTGGCGGCTGAGGTGGTGCCTGCGGCTGCTGAGCACCATACCCGGCCTGTTGAGGGTACTGTTGGTACACCGAACCTAAAAAAGATAAGAGGCAGGCTTAACAAAATACTTTTACAGCACAATTAATTCTCTGCCATCCAAACTCATGATACATACTGTATAACAGAGACACAAGAA